CAATTGATAATTGTGAATGACATAATATGTCGGTAGTTTCATCTACTTCTAGTGAAAAGCAAATGGTTTCCTGAATCTCAGATTTAATAACGTTACTCAAAATGTAACTAATTGATTCTATTAATTCATTCTGGATTGTTTTAGATACACCGCTAAATTTCTTTGAATCAGAAAGTAAATTAGAAAATTCCAAATCGTATTTCTTAAACATTTTTATTAGTTCTCTATAATTACCTTGATTTAACGAATGCTCCGATTCATCGTGTCCCCTAAAAGATAATTCCTGAAAACTTAAAAAAAATTACAATATCAATTAAAACGACGTAAAACTGCGTGATTATTTTTTACAATTTCGTTATGTTTAATAGCAATTTCACGTTGGGCATTATCTAATGAAACATAGATATTTTGTTTTCCAAATAAATCTAATTTAATCTGACTATAAGTATGATCTTTCGAAATATCATGTTTATGTAAAGCCCTAAATAATTCATTTAAATTATCGTAACCAGATTCACACCACGGATTTTGATGTTTGCCCCTATTTGTCGAAAATAAAATGCAAGGCCAACAGAAAAGTTTGTTTTTTATTTCACTCCCGGTAAGCCATGAGTACTTGCTGTACCAATTATCTGAAAATGATCTATTACTTCCCTTACCCGCACTAATATTTATAAGCCGGGACATTTTAGGCAAAGGACGCCCCTTATTTTTAATAACAATTTGTTCTTCGTATGAAATAGATGAAAACCCATTATGCAAAATATAATTTACAATATCAGACTTATCAATACTTACAGTTTCTCCCATGGCTTGCATTTTTTAGGTTAATTTACCTGAATTTGTTTACACTTTAATTAAAAACTTCTAATATGTCAAAAAACCCTTTAACTATATACTAACGGCAGACGTAACGTATCACAGTATTACTTTAGAAAATAAAAATAAATCACAAAAAGAAAGACTAGTTCGTGCACTGAATATCACTTCACAGGAACGTAGATTCCTTGTGGACTTCACTTTACTACATATATGAAATAACATTTCGTTTCGTCCCACGCTCGCAATGTACAGTTCGCGACCAATCCAAATGAAACATCGGCAAATTTAAATTCGCCGTAATTGGTAATTAAGTTCATATGGAAAGAAATGTATATTTGGTTGCTAATCAACCAATATTCTGTTGATTTTTACAAGTAAAGTCAAGATTGGGATCGGCTAGCCGAAAAAAACAAAACGTGCCTTTTTAAGAATTCATAGGCGGATGAATGTCTCCGATATCGAATAATCTATTTGAAAAGTGTCTACACAGGGATCACTTAACGCTCAGATTGGACGAATTCTTTTAAAAACCATGAAAAAAATTTAGTCTGGTCGAATTCTTTTAAAAACCATGAATAACATTTAGTCTTTATTATCTCACAGATATTTTTTTAGTTCACAAAAACAAATGACATCAACTGATTACCTGCCACAATTATTTATTGAAATACTGATTAAATATTAAAAAAGTCTATAATATCTATAAAGATGTGGGTCGGCACTGCCGACCCTGACCGGCCGCCACTGATTAATTATATGTTAGCAGTAGTGACTGCTACACTGTACCTCAAATCTAACATTTCTTCAAAACACTTACAATCTTAAAAATTTGTTTATATTGCCCTTCATTTAATATATACTTTATGCATCAATAAAAAAATACTAGTCAACACAACCTTTGATTTCATGAAAATGTTTTGGGCAGAGATGGTGTTAACCAAGCATTTCTAGAAATTGAATGATTGAAAAACTAGATTTAGATCTGAAGCTCTTTTCTTGTGGCATTGTAAATTAATTACTATTTAACTGGGAATAAGCCACAATTAAAGATAAAAATACGTTTATTGACGTTTCAATTTCCACTTCGGAAATCGTTCTCAGATAAATAAGCCACAATTAAAGATAAAAATACGTTTATTGACGTTTCAATTTCCACTTCGGAAATCGTTCTGAGAACGATTTCCGAAGTGGAAATTGAAACGTCAATAAACGTATTTTTATCTTTAATTGTGGCTTATTCCCAGTTAAATAGTAATTAGATTTAGATCATTTAGATGAATAACAGACAATATTTTGATTCAAATAGAATGAGCATGATTAGTGATTTGTCTTTGTACCGCGCGGGGTATTTTAGGTAGCCCAAATGCGGTTTTGTTATTATAACTCTTAAAAAATATATTTTTTTTTTGTTCCTCCAGGTAATCTTACAAAATACATTACTAAAACCGTTTTCTATAAAAACATTAGATTTAATTTCAATTTTCTACTAAAATTGAAATTAATTACTTGGGGTACTTCCGTTACCACGCGACACGGCCTGCTATGTATTGAAATCATATACATAAACAATATTATATTTTTAGATTACTGTTAGTCTTTCCTTTGCTTTAATTCACATATGTGTGTATTTCGGAGAAAATGGAGTGACGTAAATATTATGCTGAAGAGGAATTACGTAAAATTTTAGAATAAACTGACAATAGTGATGATGAATACGAGCGTAGTGATGGTGAATCAGAAAGTACAGTCCTTGAAAACGAAAAATCTACTTTTGAGTATCTATGAAATCTACTTTCAGTTGCTGAAATACTAAAATTGAAATCTGAATATGAATGAAAAACACAACCACTTGCACCTATAGTAAATTGTCGTAAAGGTTTACAAAATAATAGGTGAGTACACATTTTGAAAATAAACAAATGTTTTGATAAATTTGTAATTTGTTTTAGCATGGCTCTTACTTCAATAAAAGAAGCATTCCAATCCTATATAAATGAGAATTAGCTAGCTGACATATGCACACACAAATCGACACAGAGAAGTATATACTGAAAAATTTAATGAAAATCATCCTGCTGATCAAATGGTTTGGAAAAATGTTACAATGACTGAATTATATGGTTTTATTGCAGTACTTATAGCCAGTGGAAGGAATCACGGAACAAAACTTCACTTGGTGGAAATGTGGGCTGAAAATAAACTATTCAAACAACCATTTTTTAATGCTATAACGTCTCGAAATAGATTCAATATGATCCACAGACACATAAGATTTGATGACCCCTTCACAAAAACAAAACATAAACTACAAGCAATTCGCAATACATATGGTCAATTTGTAAAAAATTGCATTGATAATTATTCACCTGGTGAAAATATCACAATTGATGAGAGGTTAGCTACTTTCAAAGGAAAATGTCCATTTAGAGTTTATATAAAAACTAAACCTGGTTGATATGGAATAAAAATTTGCGTTTGTTCAGACTCTGATACTGTTTATATTTTGAACAGTCAGATATACACTGGAATGATAGAAAAACAACAAGAAGTGAATCAAGGGTTTAGGGTAGTTATGGTTAGACCCTATTTTGGATCGGGCATGGAGTTACTACAGACAATTTTTTACCTTAATTCCCTAGCTGAAGAACTGATAAGACATTTACTAAGTAAATTTTTACAATTACAGGACTCTAAGGGATAAAAAGAGATTCCTGCCAAATTCTGTGAGCGAAGGACATTCCTCTATTTTTTGAATTTCTAATGATCTCTCACATTAATGTCCTATGTACCTACAAAAAAGAAAACAGTTATTTCTTCTATCGAGACAATTTCACATTAACAAAATATCCTCTGATGAAAAAGCAAAATGAAAGCCTGAAATTATTTTACACTATAATAAAACCAAAGGGTCCATTGATACCCGAGTAAAATGACCAGAGAATATACATGTGTTAGTTTAAGTAGATGGCCATTTAGGATTTTTATGGAAATTATTGATATAAAGTCTGGGAAGGATTTTTTTACAAAGCTTGGCACAAAAACTTTCACTCCCAAATGTTATAAACCGGAAACAGAATAGCAATAATTTTTATAAAACTGTAAAAACCTTGTTAGATGTATTTCTTTTAACAGTAATGCCACATTATCAGCAAACGCTGCTATAGGAAGACAACATTATACAAATTGAAGATGCAGCTTTTGTGTTAGATCATGGGATAGAAAGATTAAAATATCATGTAGTATATGCAGAAAACCCATTTATAACATACATGGAAAGGAATGTAAAAAAATTGTATGCCCCGACCTTAATAATTGTATGTCCCAAACAAATATAGTTATTTTTGTAAGTAACTGATTTTTTTATTGAAATCCCACAGTAATCTCCAGTAAAGCAGTTAACTTGAATTTGGATACAATGAACATTACCTATAGATATGTTTGAAATTAAATGTAAGCTTAATATACATCAAAGTTGCCATATACTCAATCATTATTCCAAACTATCACATATAAAATTATGGGCAAGATTTATATATGAAATGAAAATTTAAAATACATATATAATTAAACAAAAACGAAAAATATGTAATATATAATTATAAGCATTAAAATTATACCTATAAATATTACAAAATAAAATTATACCTTACATTTAAAATACTTATATAATAAAAACCATTAAAATTATGCTTAAGGTCAAAATTAATAGTAAATATTTAGCTATATTTAAAGTAAAAAAATACTATTTTATAAATGCTTTTTAATATGAATTCAAAAATTGTGGCTTTTCATAACAAAACATAAAAATTAATGGGACAATCACAGTAGTTGGCTGTATACCATCCTTATGTGAAGCATTTTACTTCTGTATAAGTTTTTTTAAAACATATAATTTCATCAAAGTATCTTTCTATTTTAAACACTCCTATACTTTATACAAAAAAATGTGGCAATACTGTGACGCACAGACATATAGTTTGATGCCAAGGTTATGTTCATTGCACTCAAATTAAAGTTAATGGATTATTACACATTTTAAATAATTAAATATGAATTATAAGATGATCAGTACATAAAAGAAAAACAATTGAAAATTCAGATTGATATGGGAATCCTGACTTCATCCAAAATAAATAGGATTTACAAAAAAGAATGAAGGTGGTAATTAAATAACAACTCTCAAAAATGGTTTATTGTACATCTACATTGTAAATAATTTATTTGAGAGGAATAAATCTAGAACTGTGTGTAGCACCAATACCTGGTCTACCATGTTTAACAGGTTTATAAGTCAAGGAAAATTCACCTAAATAATGTCCAATCATTTCAGGTTTAATTTCAACTTGTGTAAAAGCTTTACCATTGTAAACTCCAACAATAGAACCAACCATTTCTGGAACAATAATCATGTTGCGCAAATGGGTTTTAACGATTTCAGGTTTCTCTAATGGAGGGGCTTCTTTTTTTGCTTTACGCAGTTTTTTTACTAGTGCCATTGGTTTACGTTTTAATCCCCTTGTAAAACGTCTCCTGGCTCGGCAATGCATTAGTTCCATGAGTTGCTCACTAAAAATTGAATCATTAGATTACATGAATTTCATTATTAATTTCTAAATCTTACTTTGGCATGTCCAAAAGTTGATCTAAATCCACTCCACGAAAAGTGAACTTTTTAAAAGTCCTCTTTTTCTTGACTTGTTCTTCTGCCTTAAAAGGAATAAAACAATTTTGTATAAATACTTGTATGAAATTAAAAAATATGTTACTTACTTTATCAGCCATATTGAAAAAATATTGTGTTTAACTAATTTATTGGCAAAAACTTATTTGATGGATTATTTCCCAAAAGATTCTTCAACGTTTACAAATAAGTGACTATCGCCATTAAATTGTCGATAAAAAGATTGTCAAATTGTCAAAACACAGTGCTGCCAACTGACAATCGAAAAGTACACCCATTTTAGGGATTTTTGATCGTATGTATACCTGTCGAAAATATTCAAAAATCTTAATATATATATATATATGATATATATATAATATATATATATATATATATATATATAATATATATATATATATATATATATATATATATATATATATATAATATATATATATATATATATATATATATATATATATATATATATATATATTATATATATATATATATATATATATTATATATATATATATATATATATATATATATATATATATATATATATATATATATATATATATATATATATATGAGTATAGTTAGTAAGTTGGCAGCCTTTCTTTTTTGACGGGAGAGAGCGAGTAAGTAGTTTTCATGCGATAGAGAGAGACAGTTAATATATGCATTCCCTGTGTTTTTGCACTATGATTAGAGCATAACGGTGAACCATAGATTAAGTATAATAAAGGTCAATTCAGACACATGTCACGTCTCGTCACAGTGATTGCGCCGAACCGAACAATCCGTCATACAAAATATTCTTTAATACAAATATGTTGCCCGCATTCACACTCATCAGTTGACAAACAGTTTCCCAGCTGTCAGATAGTTGATAGTTCTGTGACCAAAAAGGACCGGTTCGGCGCCGAGACTATGACGGGACTGATGTGTCTGAATTGACCTTAAGTCGGTGAACCAAGAACGGTTGACTACAATGGGCGCGTTCAGCAGACGGAGCTGCTCCACAGCATAGAGAAATAACAAATAATTATTGTTATTTGTTATTTATTTTTTATTGAAATAAATAATTATTGTTATTTCTCTATGCTCCACAGCACAACTGTTGAAGTCTGCAAAATGAAACCGCTACCGCGGCCACAGAATAATAAACAAATTGTGCCGCGGCGCTACTTCCGGAGCGCCCTGTCAAATTTGGAAGCGTAAAAATGGGCGCGTTCAGCAGACGGTGCAGCTACCGCTCCGCTACTTCCAAATCCATCGTAAAGCGGTGGACCAAACGTCATAAGTCAAAACCTGCTGGATTCCGCTACCGCTACCTTATCTGTCAATGTCAAATAATTTGTCATTTTAAAATTAAATATTTTGATTATGTTTTAGATTGCCAATTTAGCTTGACTTTTAAATATTAGGGAGTTTTTGTAACTACCTAACGTAACGTATCTCCCTATACGTAAAGAACTTACGTATCGAAGAATATGAACGTTAAATTGAGAGTTTTTGTTCTGCACGTAACGTAACGATGGTGTTGCCCTCATCGAAATAGTGACAAAGAAACTAATAAGTTGTCAGTGCCAGTGTTGTCCTTGTCACTTAACCCTATTTTTGATATTCAAAATAAATAATATTTTTTCAACAATTTTTAATTTTGGTGATGGATGCAATAATAAACTTAGGTGCCTTTATTGATGATGAAGAAAACAAGGACATAGAAAATGCGCTTCTTCTCCACATCTTGCACGTCTATACGGCCACTTTAATTTATACCATGTCTGATATATAATATAAAAATATTTTTCGCTTTTGGATTAAATTCCACCTTTCTGGATAATCGTAAGGGTTCTGGCCTACGACTTCCTTCAACAAAAACAAATCATTTTCATTGCTGAAGTGAAATCGTTTTCTACTGCTTTCCATTATTTATAAAAATCAAAACAAATATACTTAACCACAAATGTGATGAAATGTTGATATTTTGGTAATCGGGTAAGATCCCCTTGAGCATTCGGTTACTTTCGGCTCGATAGGGATGCGTATGAACGTAACGTATCACGTATCAGCCCGTTACGTTAGGTAAGACGTATCTAGATACGTTAGTTCAACCATTAATGCGCATGCTTATATGTCAAAAAGATACGTTACGTATACGTATTTGCTTGCACAAAAACTCTCTATTATTAAACTTTACGTCACATTACTAGCGGACAAGGAAAATAATATCCAGCTCATTGAAAATGCTGTGGATCAGTTGGCACAAACTGAAGAATTAGAGCTGAATAATGCTGAGAGAGCTCAAGTTCCTCCTAATCAAAATTTTTATGAGGAAACCATTCCCCTATATATGGGAGATCTTTTTAATAGGCGATAAAGCATTTTCGCATGAGTAGGGAATGTGCTGAAGTAGGTTTTAGTAAAGATTATTAGTTCTTTGAAAACTACATATAAATGTTTTAGGTAATTACCCAGCAACTAGGAAATTTAGGAGTTATACCCATTGGAGCTACAATTCCTTTAGATAAAAAAAGTGCTGTTCACCACCTGGGTTTTAGCTAAACCAGAATCGTTTGTAGCCTGTGGCGGCAGGTTCAATATAGCCAAGAGTACAGCCCATAGTGTATTTTTAAAGAAATTGTGTCAGCAATCTTATTATTAATGCCTCAATATATAATGTGGCCAGATAACCATAATGAAGCAATAATGGTAATAATAGACTTTGATCCACAGACTTTCTGAAAACTGAAGATGAAACGCAAAGAATGGGCAAACTTACCTCAAGAACAAGTTGATGCTTTGATTAGAAGCATTCCCCGTCAGATTGAAGCTTGTATTAGAGCTAGAGGTGGTAACACTGACTATTAAAATGAACAACAAGACTGTATCTTTTTTTAGTCAACCATTGCAATGTTTTCACTTGTTCGTGTTTTTGTTAATTTAATGTATTTGTAACATTTTTTTGATTTTTTTTATAGTAATTTAGCTGGTTTAGTATAAAATGTAGTTCATTTTTCATTAAAAAAAATTTAGTAATACTTTACAAAATCGGAAATACTGGGTGATTCAGTGTGTATATTATTGATTTTTATTAATTATTATTGATGTGTGTATATTATTAAACTATATCCCATACATTTCTTGACAACTTTTCTCCATCTTCCTTAGAGGTGATAATTTAATTTACTATTTTTGCCCAGGTCTATGTACATTTAAAACTTGTTTGCATCTGTAGGTAATATAAATAATAATAAAAAATAAATAAAATTTGGTTTATATGTGCAGCTTGTTGGGACTCAATAAAGAGTACTTTTTTCATGCATAAGAGTATATTTTCATGCATAAATACTATATGTAAAATTAATGAAGTTAATATAATTAAGATATTGTTAATTGTGTGTGTGACAGTATGCAGAGAGATTTGGCTTCAAAACTATGTTCATTAGCCACAAATCATATCAATAGCATATTAACTTTTAATTTAATGTATTGTATTATATGTACCTACTTTTTACCTAAAGGTTGCAATATTTAATGAGTTGTCAAAATTTAGATAGCCTCATAAGCCTTAGTTTCCTATTATTCACTATCATTATGTGCCATGCAACAGCACGGAGTATAAAGGAGAGTAGTTCTTCTGTGATGTGGGTATTGAGATATATCTCCCTTTTTATGTATGGTGCAAGTATTCCAATCGCTGGGGAGGGACTGCTGTATTCATATTTCTTTTCTAGGCTGCTGTGATGCCACTGCCAGTGATATTCGAACTACCTTCTTTATATAGATCTGCTGGAAAATTAGTTACTCTTGGCCCAATTACTACCTTATAAATATTTTTACTTGTTAATTGAAAAATATGACAGACCCCTATTTTATATTTGATGCCATTCAATCTAGTGTTATAAAACATAAAAGAGAGTGGTAGTTTTAGGTAGTTAGTAGAATTAAAACAGTATTAACGAAATGAGTGGAGTTCAGTGTGATGGAAAAATACTAATAAAGCTAATAGGTAAACTCAACAGGACCTATTTATTATTAAATATATTGTTAAATGTAAAGTGTGGATACAAGGAGAAGTCTCAGAGTCATTTAAAACTAACCGAGGTCTGCTTTGGGAGATGCACTATCATGCTTGGTATTCAATCTACTGTTAAATGCTGCAGAAAATCTTGGAAAGAGGCGACTGAAGTGTTGTGATAAGGATAAGAAGGTACCAGTAAAACTAAAGGACAGGCTCTATAATACTGTCTTGAGACCAGTGATTATATTTATGGTACTGAATGTTGTACAGTAAATAGGAATAAACAGAAATTACATGGCTGAAATGAGCATGCTTCATTGGGTGAGTGGAGTAACTAAAAAAGATGAGGTGAGGAATGAGTATTTAAGAGTAAGTTTGGGTGTGGCTTTTATTAATAAAATGAGGGAACATCTATTAAAGAGGCAAAAAGGCAAATAGAATGATGATACTTGTAAATATTTTGGTTCATTAATATTTATGTTATATTTACAAACTTTTCTTACTTAGCTTATAAACACACTTTCCTCTGTAAAATCATTAATTTTAATAAAACAAAAGCTACTAAAAATATATCATTTTATTTACATTATACAAGTTTTATTTACAGTGCTATAAATGCAGTTAATACAATAAACTGATTTGGAAAAAGAATATATGAATATATATTGAACATATATTCACAATTTTTTTTTTTACTGAATACACTGAAGTGTACTTACATTAAAATCTGGTCAGTAAGACCAATTATCAATTTGTTTCTAACTTAAATTACTAATGAAAACTTAAAATTAGGTGTCTACTCACTAGTATCTTTCCTATTATTTCTAATAACTAGCATTAAATTTAGCATGCATACTCGCACAACACTTTGCTCTGCTTTTCACTCACTCACTATACCAGTTCAAAAGGCTTTGTTCTTTTGAGCCTTCTCTCTAGGTTCGTATTATCGAGGAACTGGATAGACTCGACGTTTACATGATGGAGACGTTGTTCATGGCTCCCTGCAAATTTCTTGATTATCTGATTGACGTCTTCCATCTTGAGGTCCTGGTAAAGATTGTTGTTCCTAACGTACCAAGGCGCATTTACGATGTTCCTCAGCACTTTATTCTGGAATACCTGGATTACTTTGATGTTACTAGGTTTGGCACAGCCCCAGAGTTGGCAGCCATAGGTCCATACTGGCCTCAGTATTTGTTTATAGA